AAGAAGTCTCGAAACGTGTCTAAGACTCCCATACCCCACCGCCAGCCCATACACCAACCTGGTGTCGTGTATTCTAATGGAAAGTTCGCGGTCGTGCCGGATTCGCGCGGCACATTGCCATAGATCGTGGCTTAATTGAGCAGACCAACGAGCAGGCAGCCGGTTCCGAGGACGAGCCTTTCAATTAAGCGATAAGTGTTATCGGATGGGTCTGCTGCACCATCGTACGACTCGCCGGATGAAGCAAGAGCGTTGCGTAGCGGTCTCGTCGCATGTGCATTCTTTTTCGTCTAACCCTAACCCCTCCGACGAGTACGTCTGCGTTTATCCTGGCCTGTCCATCTTCGCGTATTTTTCTCGTTCGCGGTCGACGGTGCTTTTTACAGTCTTTCCTCTGCCTCGTCTTTTTATTGCCGCGTCATTCGAAAAATCTCAATTTCCAAGGAAATCGTCGACGCGATCGCGTACAATAAGCCTTTGAAACCCGCGACTTCGTGGATACGTAATCCTGCGATTTATTTTGATGCATTGAACCCCCGCTTCCCCTACGGACTTATTTCCTTTCGATTTATCGATGACAACTGAGACCACGTTGAGGTCAAAGGAAACATTGTTATGTATTTCAAGGTATTACCTTGTCGAACACTATGGCATAAATGGGGCACGTGAAGTGCGCGTTACCTTGTCACATAAATACTTTGTGAACATTATGTGTTTCTATATAGTGAAGGAAAAAGGGATTTAACAGTATTCTATAGGAACTTCTCGAAAGATTATCCTAATTATATAACATAATACATTAGGGGGGAGGGGGCTATAAAGTAATGTCGTTTCTTTTAGATTCAATTTAAACAAATTTGTAATATGTTTTTATTATTCATCAATTATGTAATCGTGCTCGTTATCGACAATCTTCTGCCATCTAGTGCGCAAATTTTTAATATCTGATCGATAAAAATCAATCGGTGTACAGTGACGTGGTAAATAATAAACAACCTGGTACCCCTAATACATGATTGAATGTATCTTTTATTTACTCAACAGTATTATGACTCTATAAGAATAACTCTTCAGAAGGTTATTTAAATGTCAATCATAATATACATCTTTCTTTTAAATGTTGATAAAATTTTGATTACTTTCCGGCGCCCCTAATATTTTAACCTGCAGAAGAAGAAGGTTGGTGTCTCCCTATAGTGACTCTAAAATATCGTTCCACCGTTCGGAGGATGGGCTTGTGCTTCTCGTAACCGAAAATGACACGACGTGCCAAAGATACGTACGTCGCGATAGGCAATCATTTTCGAGGGGCGCCGTCAAGCAAGCGGGATCACCGATCTCTGATTTCCCCTCGAAAACGAAAGATCGTCCGGTTCGACAAGAATATTCCTATCGCCGACGGCGTTCGTCGATACAAGAGTAACTACCATTTCCCATCGCGGGTGCGCCCCGGCGCCCGATAAAAAATGTGCAGCCTGACCAATTGCATATAACTCACCCAGCCTTTCCACTTCTTCCTGCCTCCTGTGTATATATACGTCTATCTATCCGCGCGCTTCCTCCTCTCCCTCTCTATCACTCTCACCCCCCCCCCCCCCACTCGGCTTTTCTCGTACTTTCCTTCTCCAGCTCTGTCTACCTCTCTGTCCCGTTCTCACGTTCTCTCTCCCTTTCGGTAGTCGGGGGTCGCTTTTCCAGTACTCTTTCCGTCCGTGCACACATATTCTCCGACGCGCTCGCGTACATAGGATCCTCACGCGCGTACACACACGCACGGACGCCCATACGTACGTGGACGCTGCATCACCGTATGCATGCTTACACGTACGAACGGCCGGGCACACGGACGCGGTTCCAGGGGTCGTGTATTCGAGTTCTTTTATTTGGCCCTGCGGGGGTAGTAGAGGGTTGAGTTGAGCGAGCGAAACGAGGGTGCGGTGGGCTGGGGGCGATGACATCGATTTTTTACCCGTTGCTAATCTCAATGTTACCTCCTCCTACTCTGCCTCCTCTTTTTCCTCTTCCTCCTGCCACCAGGTTCGGCCACCTCCATCTACCCTTTTTCGCTCCTCTCGCTCCACCCCGCGTCTCCTCGGTCGACCCTCTTCGTTTCATCCCCTACCCTCGCCATCTCCCTGTATCTCCACCTCCGCCCTCGGACCATCCGTTCTGCGGGAAAATGTGCATGTGCATCGGGCACATTCGAGAAGGAATAACCATTTTTTCGTACCGGACAACACTTGCGCCGCGTCGTCCACCCCGCGCGCAAATTCTCCTCGTCCCCCGTCCCCTCCCCGCGCGCCCCGGTACGTCGACGTTCTTCCCTCTTTCCCTTTTAGCGTTCGGTTACCTCTCCGCCCTGTTTCCTACCGTCTCGCTCTGACGTTCCCCGTTCCCGCTGTTGCGTTTCCCTTTGTCGCGTTTTTCGTCGACGCGTTTCTCTCTCTCTCTCTCTTTCTCTCTTTCTCTCTCTCTCTCTCTCTCTCTCTCTCCATATTTTTTTTACTTTCTTTCTTTTTTATCCGCCGCGCAGCAGCACCCTTCTTCCACGTCCGTCCTCCCACCCCTACGGGGGCTCGGACCGGGCGAAATCGAACTGACGTGGACGCGCCAGTTTTCCATCTTTCCGTCTCTCCTCCTCTCCCCCCCCCCATACCCCCGTGGGAATAATGACATTTTTTTCGGTTTGAAGCCTCCGACGCGCGACCAAACGCGCCCCGGCGAGAACGCCCGGGCGAACGCCGCGCCGGGATGCCGACGTGAACACCGAAATTGCTGGAATCAAGGTGACCGTCTCTGGGACTCGAGTTTGCGTGACTAGGGACCGGTAACCTGGTGTTGTTTAGTTGAGATTCGTCGGTGACGGAAACCTGAGGGAAAAGGTACCTGATCAAGGGTTGAAGTGAATGAGATTCATTGGTCATCGAAGGGGAGGGTAGTTTTACCAATATGAGGTCTCCTCTGATTTTGGATTTCGAGTATCCTAGCCTTGTGTCTGTATACCTAGAGATAGGATTGACACCCTGATGTTGTCTATTAAACTAGTAAAAAAAATCTAACGAAAAAGTTCTTCAACAACGATCAAAGGTAGAAGGGCTTTTGAATACAGCAGCTTGACGAAATAGAGAACGAAAGGGAGGCTAGCTTCACCAATATGGAGTCTCTCTTGACTTTGACTTTTGAGTCAACCAGATTGACAGAAATCTTTTGTGTCACATAATAGAATATTTTTTGCATAGTATACTAAAAGCTCGAAAAAAAATATCAGCGGCCCTGTTCCAATCACTCGTCGATTCTTCTAATGTTGGTCACCCTACGCGCGTGCTTGTGCCCGTTGCAGTTAATAGTTGAAACCGATCTGTCGCGATCGCGTATAATGCACACACGCACGTGTCTATTGTTTGTCGGCCGTGACTCCGACGCATGGGTGCGTCAGCTGTTTGCGGTTCGATGCGCTTTTCTATCCCATGTCGAGCTATTCGAATCGGCAACGGGAAAAACATTGTAAACGTTCCGTAACGGGCATCGATGAATGTCTCCGTTGTTTTGGGGATAATTTTCATGGTACCTTTTCGCGGCGAGCTTACAATGAGAAGTGTTGGGGAAAATTAAACAACGACAAGAAATCAAACACATAGAATGAAATAAGCAACAACGAACTAAAAATCAAGTAATTATTCCATATAGAAAAATTAAAGTAAATGGAAGAGAGGGGAGAATGACACGAGCTAAGATAGATGAGAAAGAATCATAAACAAGTATCAGGAACATGAAATTATTATTGTATTATTATTTAAAAGTATAGTTATATCCGCTCGTTGTTTATTCCTCGTATTCCACACTTATTTATGAATCCGTCTCTCCGCGTTTTATCCTTTTCTTTTGTAACGCTTACCATTGTGCGAGCTAGTCACGTGGCAGTTGGTATAATCGATTCAATCGACACGCATTAATGAGCAACCGCTCTCCTTCCACGGGCATGGGCGAGAGCTCACGTGCCATCGAGCGGTCGTTACGCGCTGTACAATCACCGTAACGTAATCCTGAATTTCATGACGTTTTTTACGGTGTTTTCGCGATTTGTTCCCGCTCGGTTTACAGTCGCGCAGGGCCGACCTCCGATTTTTCAATTAATTCGTCCGGTTGTCAGCGCGACCATCCAAACACGGTATCGAAATTTCTGTCGTCCCTCTCCGCTAATAAACTGCTGTGCACTTCAGTGTTTATCGTTTTTGGCTACAACGCGCCAATAACATCGCGAAACGAACAATTTATTAAGATCTATTATCCTTCAAATATTTCAATAATTTTTGTGTCGTTCCTTGACCAGTTATTTAAAATCCTGCTTTGGAAGAGTTAGAGTGAAAGACATCTTCAGATTACGAGGACTTGTCAGAAATGAATTATTTATACACAAAATTGGATTAATATAATACAAAAATATATTTCAAGTGATATTTAATTCTTCATAATTGAAATCGATTGATTTTTATAATTGACTAATTATAAAAATGGTGTCAGTCCCTGTCCAGCCTGTAAATATCAATTTAAATTCAGTTAAATTCGACTGAAGGAAATTTATATAATCAAACTAAATAATCCTTTAATTTTCTCGAAAAAACAAAATACAGGCTTGCCCCGTTATCAACAATTTTCATTAAAATACCTTGCGAAAGAAATTATTTCTCCGTCATTTATACACTCACGAATTAATTAACGTTCAAGCAATAAATAGCTGGACCCCGCAAAGCTGAAATCCTTTAAAACTTTACCGCGTCACGTCGCGGGGAATTAATTTTGTACGAATATTCGCGAGAAACGTCGCCGAGGTGCGGCGGCCTAACCCCGGGACCCCCGGATTCCAGACCGACCGAAAGTCTGGAATCCTTTATCGTCGCCGGGCTTCAGAAAAATGCCCGCTCGAGATTTCTTTTGATCCGTCACACCCTTAACGCCACGCCCGGTTCTCGCATTAATTGCCTCGTTTATCATGCTTGCAGACCGAGATCGCCAAGAGGTTGAACGCAATAATCGTCCAGCTACTACCGTTCCTGGCACAAGAGGTGAGTCTTTGACTTTCTGTTTGGCACGTGTGCCGCACAATCTCGCGATTCGAGAGTGACAACGACGCGATAATGATAGCATGGCTTGCAGCATCAGCAGCAGGTGGCCAACGCCGTCGAGAGAGCGAAGCAAGTCACGACGACCGAGCTAAACGCTATTATTGGGGTGAGCCTTCTCTGCAATTGATTCCATTAACTTTCGTAGTTTTTTGGCAAGCAGTCGGACATTGATCTTGGCACCGTATGATACAATTTCGCGCTGCTTGCGTTCCCAATTTCATCCCCGAACCGTAATTCACGTGTAAGCCGCCCGACTAACCGTTGCGATACTCTTTTGCAGCAACAACAGGGTCTACAGCAGCTACTGGTGAGTCCTTCAGTTTTTCAAGCTTCTCTGAACTACGAGAACGTGTCTCGAGACAGCCTACCGTACCGCAGACGGCAAAAATATTAGGTTGGTAAGAAATCGATGTCGGTTTTCGAACAATCGAACTTTCACGCATGGTTTTATAACGGTTGGATAACTGTTCACTTTATTCTATTTACGTTCCAATGTCATCTCACAGTGCAGATGTCGCGCTGCATGCTGATAAGTACGCTTTTGTTTTTATTGTTAATTTGTGCTTCGAGTTATTTACTTCGCAATGGATTATAAACAAGCTCGTGTAATATTCTTATATGAATATAAACTGGGTCGTAAAGCTGCAACTGCGATGCATTTGGAGACGGTACCATAAATGAACGCACGGTGCAGCGATGGTTCAAAAAAGGAGGTGAGAACCTCGAAGATGAAGATGATCGCAGATGCTTTTCTCTCGTCGACAGTGACCAGTCGAAGGCAATGGCTGTAGCTGATCCACGAACCGACAACTTGCACAGGAGTTGGGTGTAAGCCAACAGTTTATAGACCACCTGAGACATCTAGGAATGTTAATTTGTGATATGTGGATTTAAATATATAGTTTGAAAACCGACATTATTTTCCTACCAACCTAATATTTATCTGAATAAACGTTCCAAGTAGCATGGATTGACATGAAGCCCCTTAGCTTGTCGGGCACCAAGTGTCCATCGAGCTCATACGTTAAGACGCTGTGTAAATCTTCGTTAATGGTAAAGGCTAAACTTTACTTTGAGGCCACAGAATTATTGATTTTTTTTTGTTTATACCATTTAGTAGGTCTTCATGTCCAGATCACAAAAACGAAGGTTTTAATGTTAGGAATTCAACGGTTAAAAAGTAGAGATAGTGAATGACATTAAAATGGTAAAATACGTTACGAAAATACTGTCTGAGTAGGTTTGGAGTTTTGGAATCTAATTTCCCGGTGCAGCCAATTTTCATTTACTCCGGATAAATGCACGCACGAAGATTCACATTCTCTACCTAATTGACCAACAGATCATCGGTAAAAGACGATAATACAGCTTGGCAAATACAGCCAGAGGCCCAACTACGAAGGCAGCAGAAATGAAACTTTCCCTAATGAGAGGCGCAGTGTCCCTCAACTCTAGATTTATTTTTGTTCCGTTTATTTAATAATAAACCAAAACATCGCTTGCAAAGGGCCAAATGGTAAAGAAGAAGGTCAATAATTTTGTGCGGTCGAAAGTAAAGTTTAACCTCGGTAAATGATTAAGAAAGATGGTGAGTGTGTCTGTTCCCGATGTTACAGCAACAGATTCACGCGCAGCAGCTGCCCCACGGAGCGGTGGTCGGCGGTCTTCCGCCAGGCGGATTGTTGGGCTTCGCAGGTGCAGCCGCTGCGGCCGCAGCCGCGGTGGTTCCGCCGCATCTAGCGCCGCCCCCGCATCCGTCGGCCGCTGCGGTCCAGGCGCAAGCGCAGGCGCTCCTGAAACCGTCGGATCTGCAACAGCACCGGGCGGCGGCGGAGACTCCCGAGGATCGTAAGCCGATCGCCCTCACCGACGACAGACTACGGCGATCCGTTTCGCCGCCCGAGAAATTCCGCAGCCGCACCCCCGACCTCGAGAGCGATCCCAAGAGGCGGAAGGAGGAGAAGCTCGGACACGTGAGTTTAATCCTTGTTCCTCGTCACGCGCTTCCTCGCGTATTCCACGGACGCTTTTGTTTTTGCGAGCGCGAGCGCGCGCAACCTTCGACCCACCTGTTACGCGCTATTTAAGAATAGGTGGCCCAAGTGTGTGGCGTCGACCAGGACTGAGACTGCTCGGTGGGATTATTTTTTTGCGGGTATTGAGTGCTGGGAAATTTTTTGAGAAATTGTTGAGACAGGTATTATATTCGGATATTTTTTTTTTTCTTTTTTTTTTTTATCGAAGCTTTCAAATCTTAGAAGAGAGATTTATTCGATTTGCATGTTGTTGGAAATGTATATGTAGAATTAGGATTTGTTAATATGTGCGAGATTAATGTTACTGTTCTTCGAGAAGGACAGAACAACGTTTGCTTTAGTAAACGGACATAGTGATGGGTAAATATAGTTTAAGTTTACATAGTCGCTCTAATGATTTGATTCTTTGCTTTACGAAGAGTGGGCACTGCCAAGTAATGTGATCAATGTTCTATATGACTATAATCGCGCCAATATTTAGAGTTACTTAATAATTCCACCCTTGCGAGAGAAGCAGTAAAGTTATTTATAATGGCCAGCTCTACAGCGGTGTATCGTGACAATTAATTCGCGCGAGAATATTCAGATATATTCGAGTCAAATAGCATTTTTATAAAATAACTAGGAAATATTCAATCAGTCCCTCGCGACGTACGTGGAAATCTCGAAAAATTCGACTAAAGATCGTGACGATGCTTCATCATTCTATATCGTACGAACAATGCTTTGGGAGGGTTTTTGGATTGCTGAATTTGATATTCAAATTTTATTATTTTCAATCCCTTGACTATCACAAGATATTCCATAATTGTTGCTAGAAATACGGTTTAAATTAAACGCTGATTAATTGACATGGAAGTAATCTATTAGTTTATTTACGTTACATTCTAATTAAATTGGTTAACGGACTATCGATAAAATATATTCTCGATTGCAACATAAATTAAATATACAGAAACATAAGTTACATTCGTCGATACTTCTTCCAATTTAGGAAGTGTCCACATACCTATATGTGGACAATTGCATATACGTATGTGACAGTCAACATTTTCAGAAATTATAATTATTTTTTATTGTAAAATGCTCTTAAAATCCACGGGTACCAAAGTATACAAGCCTGAAGAGGTTAACGGAATTTATTATTCGCACACAACTCAAACGTGAACCGATCAGAACGCGAATAATTCATAAGGGAAAAAACTGGAACTGTTTTTCCGTGGAGTTGCACATATCTCCTCTCGAGGAGGAACGAGGATAATAAAAGCAGCAGTCGTGGGAGATGGCGAGGTATCCTTGTACCAGTTCTTAGCAATTTCTAAGAAAAGTCCAGTTTCGTAGGAACACATCAAACTCGTCGATGCATTCGGTGGAGGCGCACGGTTCAAAGTTGAAGGAAATAAAACCGGTGGAGCCCCGCGTAGTATCGCGCGACCGGTTGCAACGTATCGCTGGAAATATCCGAAGCAGGAACGATAAAACTCCGAAAACGCTCGATGACAGGTAGAGCTGGTAGAACGGAACGGACATCTCGTGTTTGCGATGAAAAGAGAATTTCTTGGCGCAACTCTTAAGTGTACCTGGGACGGGGAGGGAACCCGGTCGAGGTAAATTGTAACAATGAAACATGTTTCAACAACAGTTTCTCAGGCACGGTAGTATAAAAGCTGAACCGACTCGACGAATTTCTTGAGCAAACTAAGCGTTCCCAGCGTTTACTGCCTTCGTCGTTCTTGACTCGACCTGGTCACTGAACTCGCGAGGGGACCATCGCGAAGTGTGTTCCGAATTTTTTAATCAGTTTTTTTCGGATGTAAAGAAGGATATGTAGAAGAATCTCTGAATGTAGCGAGGAGCGACTCTGTTTCGTTTCTTTCAGAGATTGTTCTACACACCCTTCTTCACATCTGAAAAAAAGCTGATTAAAAACATGGAACACACTGTGCGATGTTTCCTCGTCCATTCAAAGTGGATTACAATTCTCAATATCGAAAAGCATACGGTTTCTTTTCAAAAAGGCTTCATCATTTTTTGCCTCCTTTGTTAGCAATCTTTCTTTTTTTGAGGGTGGAAAGGTGAATTTATTTAAACAGTAGAAGAGTACAATGTTCATGTGAATTTTAATAATTGTGATTAGAATAATACGCTGTGTACTATGTAAAATTGACCCGCAATAACGCGTTACGTTTTGACTTATTTTCTTTGCAGAATCTGATCGTTTTATTTAAGAGCATCGTTAAAATTTCACCAATACATGCAGTTCCGTTCAAATACTTTTACGTAATTTTACTCAAGCTCTTCAATTTTTCAAGTTTGAATCAAAATATCGGATAAGAAAAGATTCACATTACGACTTATCGTTAGGTACAAGTAAACAAATACATTCTATTTCCCTTCAAATGAAAGTCTCCATTCTTCGCTAGCGTTCGTATTATATTTTATAACAGCATAAAACAGGATTTTATAGCTACTGCAATTTCTATAAACATATTGTACGCGCGCGAAAAGAGTGTCATAAACTCTGCTTGTAGGATACGACGTAGCAGCCATTTTAAAAACACTGATGCACGCATGGTTTCATAACTGTATACAGAGATGAACAAATCTCTCTTCTACGTACAAAGTTGGTTAAATTAAAACAAGAGTGTTTGATACGTTCTTTGAGTAGTCGAGAGAAAAGAATAGCAGATACCGAATTTAATTCGGAAAACCTCCTTTAATTTTCCTTAGACGAATACGAGGCCACTCTATAATAGTCAGGACTATACACTCCTGATAATAGTCCTCTTTCAATACGAGCTCAAGGCTAGACCTAATCCTTCTAGCAGAGATGAACAAAACCCTAGAATTGAATAAATCTGAAGATTGCCGATGTGATTGTCTCGTTTCTTTCTCTGGGAAATGTTCGAAAGAGGAAAAGAGACAAACATATCGGCAAACTTCAGATTTATTCGAAGCCTAAGGTTTTGCCCATCTCTGCCATAAACCATGAACGCACTAGACCAGAACAAGAGAAATGCTATAGCTATTGTTGTGGGTATGAGTCAGAGATGAGCAAAACCCTAGGCTTTGAATAAATCTGAAGATTGCCCATGTGATTGTCTCGTTTCTTTCTCTGAAATATGTTCGAAAGAGGAAAAGAGACAAACATATCGGCAAACTTCAGATTTATTCGAATCCTAGAGTTTTGCTCATCACTGCCTTCCAGTAACCTCCAAGTATCGTCCACCCGAAATTGATTTCCATCCGAACGTGTATCAGCCAGACTTCGTAGTCGGGCGTCGAGATAAAAAGCGAGCATACCGCGTAACGAACGCATTATTCCCAATGGTTTCGGAAAACAACTGGCAGACAGATGCTATCGGTGTAGTTTTCCCGTGACTCGAGACTGACAGACGTCTGCTCGGGCAACGGAACGGTAGCTCGCTCGCTCCGTTTCCATAACGATAAAGCTTAGCAACGAAAACGCAACGAAAAGCACTCGCAATACCCAGCTGGTGCGCGTGCTCCCTAAAAATTGGATGACTTTTGTCCGCGGGTAAAACGGCAAAGCGGGCAGCAACGCCGCGTGTCGTGTGTATAGAGCGGCGGGTTGTGGGTCTCGTCGGGTCTCGCAACAAGCCAGGAGTCGCACAGTTTCTCCTTTCGCCGTGGCACCGTGAAATATCCATGAAAACACGCTCCTTTGTCAGGATCGCGACGACAAAGTGCGCGACCTCGGCGCAGAGGGTGGCGACGCGAGGTGGCGTGTAATTATAAAAACCGTGAAAACAGGCGAACTGCGCGCTGTCGCTTCGCTCGCGTTCTCTCACTAAATTGGATTATTTTTCTCAGCCTTGTTCCTCCTGCCCCCCTTCGTCCAGCCCCGACCCTCTTCCCTCGACCCGTCTGCTTCCCAACAATTAAAGTACTCCTTCGCGAGTGTACCGCCTTTTCGTGTAACCTCTGTCCCTTCGCCCTCTCCATTTATACCTCTGTGTGTAATAATAATAACGTTTTTATTACGAGACACGCGAGGAGCGTTGGGAAAAGCGACGAGGCCCTTTTCGAGTTCGATTCTTGACGTGAGAAGGAATCGAAAAGTTCTTGATCGTTTTGTGATACGAGACGTTGTTTTTAAGTTAGGTTTTTATGTTAGGTACGCGATCGCGACGCGCGCCATTTTATATCTCTGAGAACTAATTGCGCACTTGCGCAGAGTCGTTGATGTACTTCGAGTGCTTGTATCTCGATAACGGAGGCTCGGACTGCGTTATCGATCCGGACTTTTCGATTTGTATCAGCATCAAGAATTTTATAGTTTTCGTAATTTTTTAAATAAAACAAAAATTCTCCTTCTCCTTCGTCAGTTTCACCTTCCAAGCCGAAGAAATTTAAATTACACTCTTGAAATGTATTTTCTAAACCGTACTACGTGCCCCTGAGAATCTCCCAAGCCGTGCTTGTGGGTTTAAAAAGGTTAAGAACCGCTGATTTAGTCTTTAGAAGGACTCGCGATCCTTTTTCATCGCTCTTAAAACGACGCGTCGCATAATGCTCCCCGAGATACGAAGCCCCGAAAAGCGCAAGCGGAATCGCCCGGCTCCTTTCGGCATTTCGCGTGGGAATTCAGAGCCGCGGAAATTAAAGGTGCTTTCCCGTGGCACGCTGGGATTACCTACGGCTCCCGGATTCTTCAAATTTTGACGCCGCGGAACATAAATGGTTATTTATGCCCCGTGCTCTCTGTAACGCGGTAATTAGAGTGTTGGCCGCGTTGAATGGACGATATTCCGTCGGTACGAGTTCACGGATAAATGACCCAGCGTGCTGGTCGGCTTTGTGAGTAACGGCGAACCGAAGAATTAACTTCGTGTACTTAGGACACCGCGGGAAGCGATTCTAGTAGCTTTCGATCAATTCGTATTATTCGATATTGAAGACAATTAATTGTTTAGGGTTTCTAGATTGATTGAAAGTAATTGAAACGAATATTTTACTGCAGTTCAAAATATAAAGTACGTAAAGGATTATAATAACGTGCACAAAATACATGCTGTATCGATAATTAGAGAATTAAGTATATTCTATATTTGTACACGAATTGAATTAATTGAAACGAATATTTTACTGTAGTTTAAAATGTAAAGTACGTAAAGGATTATAATAACGTGCACAAAATACATGCTATATCGATAATTAGAGAATTAAGTATATTCTATATTTGTACACGAATTGAATTAATGGAAACGAATATTTTACTGTAGTTTAAAATATATACTCTTAATAAAATATATCAATTGCCCACAAACTGTACTAATTTTAAAAGTCAATGTCAATTACTTCCCTCAGTAAATAAATCACGACTCGCCTCGGACCTGCACAAAATAAAAAATAACCGCTATAATAGCGTAACGTCTAAATTGCTTCCGAGTTGGACGATCGGATACGCGTATCCGATCGCTACCTGTCGTAGCCGATTGTCGCACAGAGTCTCCGGAGTCTCGATCGGGAAATATAAGTCACGCTCGTGCGATTTTTTTCTCTCTTTCTTGACTGGTTCCCTTTCGTTCTACTTCCTTTCTACCCTTTCTCTCTCTCTCTCTCTCTCTCTCTCTCTCTCTCTCTCTCTCTTTAAAGCTCCTTTTCCGTCTAGAACACCGGGAGAACTAACGACGCGTCGTTTACACGGGCAATCCCTCGAACCCCAAGGGTGCCTGGAAGTTTGTTCGAAGTTGAGCCACTGACCGGACTCCGTCATCAGCTCCATTTACCCGGCGCTGGTGTTGGAGTATCGGTGGCGAACACGCGCGATCGACCGATGGCGACCTG